ATTAAATGCACTTCAAAGTGCATCTCTGGGGGGGTGCACTGCTAAATGTTAACTCGCAGAAGGGGGCTACCCATTAGGAGGTCAAGCCATTAATTAGGGCATGTCCCCAAAGAGACTAATGTATTATAGAGCTGAGGCTTCCCCTGTGCGCAACTAGCAATGCTACACACACAGACCAAGTGCATTCATATTTCATATGAGCATGTTGTGCCCAGAGCTTCTATTTCAATGTCAAAATTGCCTGTTGAAATTGCCTGCCACCCTCCCCTGTACCTCAATCACACAGTCAAAATTGCCTTCATCATGCCGGCCGTGCCCATCTCCCTCTCTTCTGATTCTGTTTCATCTGAATTCTCCACTCTTCATCCAGCATGACGTTAATGGCAACAATTAGCTGACCAGCAACAACAGTGAGAGGGAAATGGATGGGGAAATTATGATGCAGTTTCATCTAACCCGGCATCTTTCTCCATTTCCCCCTCCCTCCAACATCCCTCCCCACCTTTATAAATAGTGGTGTTAATTTCAGTCAGTGTGACTGAGCTGCATTGATTCACAGTTTTTACCAAATTAAAGCTGTGAATTCTAACAGCTGTACACCTCTCAAAGTGTTTGGGAGACAAAGCAGGTTAGCTTGCATACATTTAATTTGGGGAGAAAGTGGCAGGTGAGTCATGTTTATTATGGTACGAGCATGTGAGTGATGACTCCGCATGCGCAAGTTCACGCTTAGCTTCTGTTTTAGTGTTCTGCTGTTTGTCCACTCTGGTTACAGATTGCTGCAGCGTGTGCTGGTATATGTCTCATAACTCAGCCAATCAATTAGTTTGACTGATTAGTAAAAATGCTCCGGGGAGATGGAAACACTAGATGTGCAGCAGACTGGAGAAGAATCTCAATACACTCGAGTGACATTTCTCCTTTCACGCCCGCCTTGATTTTATTGACATTTGCTTAAAAAAAAAAACTGTCCACAGAGAAAATTCTTGCTTAGCATCCTGTTAATCTTTCTCAAGCAAAGGGATTCCATATGAGGTGAGGAGATAAGGAGAAGCTTCAGACACAAGCAGCCGCCCTGTTGTTCGCCCCTTTTCAGCTCCTCACCGGTAAAAACATAATTGGCACATGCAGGATGTTTTAATGCCAAGCCTATGGTTTGTTGGTTTGAAATCAATGCAAGGCAGTAGATTAAATGTTCACTTCAGGGAGAAACAAAACGATTCGAACAGAGGGGTTTCTATTAAAAAGCACAGTGTAAGCTTTATCCCTCCTTTAAAGCACTGCAGATCGCTCAGGTCCCAGGGGATTTCATTCAACATGCACAGAAATAAACGGATAGACACAAAGCTAAAACGTCAGTGTCGAGTCTTTATTGTACTTCCGTGGTACAGAAAGATTTCTACAGGAATGCTACTAAAAATCACAAGACTAGATAACTGGAGGATTGCATGAGCCACGCATGATGCCACCAGCACTATGTCTGTAGTGGAAATATAAGCGGGGGGTTCATGTCTCAAAGCTGCTTAGAAAAGTTGCCAAACACAAACTGACATCTGGCTTTGAAAGGTTCTATAGGACATCACTCACTGATAGATAAAATAGACATTTATAAATAATAGATCTGAAGCAACTCTCGCAGGTTTTCTTACTGTAGACATGCAGATTCATTGGAGAGACAGAACTCTCCTTTGGTGCACCAGATAGTTGATATACAGTGACAATATGAACAGGAAATGACGGTGCTTTTGTTTTTCATAATTTAGATACTTGGCTGTCAGCTGGAAAAAAAAATTCTGTGTTGTGGTAGCATCAGTCCTTTGATCACCTCAGCAGTTCTCATTTCCATGATGCCATAACTCTGTGTTTGTTGCGCACCATCCAAATCCTGGGGGAATCAGTGATTCCCAACAGTAATGCCTCTTCTCTCCATTGCCATTCTGAATATTTTATCTCCACCAGAGGAAGTACTCTGCGCTTAACACACCTCTGCACAGTCCAGCAGGAACAAAGGGTGCTCACAAAGGCTTGACAAAGAGGTGAACGTCAGCCAGATAATTAAGAGAACAAATCATGAGGAAAAACTGAAACAAAACAGACTCCTCCACACGCTGCAGAGGAAAGAAGCCACACTATTTGCATTTCCAGCACCCAAAGCAGGGAATAAACAGCAGTTTTTGGAGCATGACATGCTAAACACACTGCCTGTTGGGTACAGCCACACCAAACAGCTTTGTGAAATAACCCCTTCAGTGTTTGGAGATGCTGAGAATGGCTTTTTAACCATTTAGAAGCCAAATACATGCCTACCAAACTGAACTGAATTTCATGAAAGAACAGTCTGCTGGATTAGAATTTTTACCCATGTGCAGCCCGATCACTGGAAACAGTTATGGAAGCACAGGTAGGGCATTTCAGGGGTAATGGGATGTTGCATGGCTGTTTAACTGCTTGTTTGTGAATTAGTCATGGTGGGTCGAAGCACAGAGCAGTGGGTTAGCTTGGCAGAGCTCAGGGCAATACGGAGGATGGAAGACGGAGCAGGATTACAGTGACTCAGAGCCCCATAAAAGAAATTTACACCTAGCACAGAGATAGGAAGGAAAGAAGGAAGGACACGAGGAAAGGACAAACAGCAGGGAGATGAATTGATGTTTTTAGACCTCAGGGAAGCCGAGAAGTTTTGTGATGGCTGGATACCTGGGATCCCTGAATTCATTTCACAGTTTTAGAGAAAATAAAACGATGCTGCGAGCACACCCTCTGGTCGTGTTGATGTTCCTCTTCAGGCCCCACAGAAATATTTACCATATGGAAAAACAGTCACTTCAGAGGTTCACAACTGGAATCCTGACACAGCAAGAGACACAGACAGAGAAGAGTGAGATTGAAAGAAAGAGGGGAAAAGCAGGTGGGGAGGCTTGTGTGATGCTTGGGATCCCTGATGATGAAGGGGAAGTAGAAAAAGAGGCAGAGCAGGGAGGCCTAGAGGAGGAAAAGTGGTGTACATGCAAACAGAAAGCTGCATCACAGGGGATTGAGAGGGCAGTGGTGGGAAGAGATGGAGGAAAAGCTGATGGGGGTGGAAGTGAGAGGGAGCAGTGGAGTGCAGCTCTATAATTATCTTGATTGAAATTAACTTTAAATACCCTTAAAGAAAAAAAAAACATTGTTTCATGCAGGGTGGCTGGGTGACTCATTTGGAGAGGGAGTTTAAAACATTGATACATCATAGAGCAGCACCAACACTCCAGGCCTGAATACTCCTCAGAGAACAGCACTGGGGTCCAATTATACTCTATGTACATCCTTATAGCGCATGTAATAAGGCTGCTTCACACACACAGAAGCACACTTGGATCCAGAGGTGTACAGAATCTCACACACCCACATCAGACTCACAGACTTGTACACACACTCAGACAGAGCTGGTGAGGCGACTTGTTACCTTTCCCTGTCAGTGAAAGAGGAGGAGGCGCTGTGCAGTGTCTGACGGCTGTCCTCTGAAGCAAGGGAACGAGGGAGTGCAAGGGAGAGAGGGGGAGCCACGCCACGGGAAAGCGGGGGTGGATGTTGGGAACAGCTCCGATCATAACTGAGAGAGAGTGATAGTCAGATAAATAGATGGAAAGTGGGAGAAGCAGAGGAGGAGGAAAGAGGGTGGAAGAAGGTAGAACATTGGGAAAAGAAAGGAAGAAAGAATCAGAATCATCTTTACTGGCCAAGTATGTTTGAACACACAAGAACTCGGAGTCCTGTACAGTGGTTCTCAGTGGGTTTATAAAGGCAGCAAATATATGTGCATTAAAACAGAGATGAGAAAAAAGATGTATAAATGACCTATATACGTTTTGACCGAAGAATAGCCTAAAAAAGATCCAAATGAACAAGATACAAAGAGGGAGAGTGAAGAAGAGGGGGGAAAGGGATTGTAGAGGGGAAGAGCGATAAGAGGAAAAAGTTGCAGAGAGAGGGATGGCAAAAGAAAAAGATGGGAATTAAGGAACAAAGAGACAAAGGGAAGACGGACAGGAATAGAAACAGAGATAAAAGGAAACAAAGTTTCACAGAGACAGATATTACAGTAATAGGTGAGAGAGGAGAAAGACAGCAGGAAATGATAGGCTGAAACGCTGGGAGACATATAGAATGAAATATTTAGGAAAAACAGCAGATGGGAGCAAAAAAAGACAGCGGGGGGAAAGACAGAAACACAATCAGAGAGCATCAAGAACAGCCGAGCCATTTAGCATCAGCGAACACATTATGCTGCCACTGTGAGACAGAATTAGTGCACTCCTCGGACTCATTAAAACGCTGTCGGAGGGGTAGGAGAGGCAGAGCGAGAAATGGGAAAGGAGACAGAAGAGGTGAGGTGCAAAGGCTGCAACAAGGCAAAGAAATGGGCAGAGAGGTGATGCATCACAGTGGTGTCACGCCAGTAAATTATGGTGACGACAGTTGAGAGTCACAGGTACAGGCTCTTAAGAATACTTCAGACACACAACAAAGCTGTTCTCGCAGCCATAAAAGCCACCCTGCGCCCTCGTCTTCCCACAGTAACACCTGTCCTCTTCTGGCTGACTCCCTCTCTACACACATCCACACGCGAGTACCACCACGCTTGATAACATAAGCCACAGTAACAATTTTAGCGCTGGGAAAATCACTGAGCGCATATGCTGCTCTTCTATAATCATAATGAACTGGACAGTGGCCAATTTCCACTATAGGCTGTGATTCCGGTCCATCTGTACCCCCTCCCGTTCACTGTCTCCATCTAACACATGGCGTTATTTACACATTTATGACAGTGAAGCACGAGATGGGCCACTTCCATGTGTCTAGTGAATCCCTCCAATCCCCAGTCTTACTAGCACAGGTTTTGGGTGAAGCAACTTATCGAAACTGCAGCGAAGGCCAGTCTCGGCAACAGAAAGTGGGGGTTATCGGGTATCAGCTCAAAGCAAGATGGAGGATTACCCGGGGATCTACAGCCGGACTGACAGTGCCGGGAGAGATAGGAGACTGGTGGGGGAGATAAGAGGAGAACCGGCTGTGCAAAGATGGGCAGCGTTAGAGCAAGGCAATGATGTATAACTAGGAGTAAGAGAAGGACCTGAAGGAAGAGAGGGGGAAGGCAGGTACTCAGAAAAGGAAAATACAATCCATGTGAGGGGAAGGGGAAGGAGACCTGAGGGCCGGGTGGAGGAAGGGTGGGTTGGGGAGGGGTGTGTGGAAACGAGATATGAAAGAGGACAGATTATACCCATTCAGGCAATGAAATGAAAAATTATAACACAATAGAGATGTGGGTATGATGAGGAGATAGGAGAATTATGGTAGGAAGGAGGAGGATACAGTATAAATGGGTGAGAAAAGGAGGCAGACAATAAGAGAAGACAAAGCAGCGAGAGGGGATGAGAGGAGAGGGGAGTCTCAGTGGTCAAATCTACTGGTGTTATTGGTTTGATCAGCAAAGCGTGGAAGTGCTCCTCTACATCACAGAGATGACTCCCCACGTCCAGTTAATGTGTGCAGAGCACTTCCTACCAAGCATACCCAGAACCCCCACCCCGTGTTTAGATGCCCCGAGAGGTTAACAGCTGGCGGGTCGTAACACTGACACCAGTGAAGCCATATTAATGCTCAAGCCTGGAAGGTAACAGATCTGTTTTGCTCCCCCTCCTATCCTAATGGTTATATCGAATGTTTATTCATTTCAACTGTAATAACACAAAAGGACACATCTGTACCAACTGTGACTTTCAGGAACACACGAGTTGTTAATAAAGTCATTAGTAAGCAATTACTCAGCACTCACTTTAGGGGGTGAATGCATGCTATGGAGTCATTATATAATCAGCAGGCACACAGGCGAGACAGGCAGACCGACAAGGTCTCGTCTCCAATAAAATTAACACGCCTTGTCCAGTTTATGCATTTTCATCTAGACCAGGGGTTCTCAGCCTTTTGTAACATAAGCTCCACTTTTGATTGTAAAAACATTTGAGGACTGCTTTCTCAAATACACGAGAAAAAAAAAAACTACAACACAAAATAAATACACTGTTGCGGCGGCCCACCAGAGGGCGCTATGAGGACCACAAATGGGCCGCGGCCTACCGGTTGAGAATGTCTGATCAGTGGGCAAAAAGAGGCAAGTCTCCAGTTTTCATGACAAAAGGACAGACTCGCTTTCATTTTTTCAAAACAGTATAATGTCAAGGTACTGTATGTCACACCGTGTTGAATGTTGGGAGGAGGCACCATTTTCAAATTTATCTGCATATCTGTTTGTTTGTTTGGCTAAAAGTTGCTTAAATCGTTTAGATCTCACTTTACTAAGCGTGGTAGCCCCGTTCAGGGTGGATCACCTTAACTGACTGGCACCCCTGCTTTTCTGTTAGGTAACACCACTTCTCCCAGAAAGCTGTTGCAATCACGAATTCTTTGGTAATCTCGTGTTTAATTATTTTATTTGCATTGGAACAACACAAAGAACAGAGGAAAAAAAGCCAAATCTGATCCATTCCACACAGAACTCCAAAAATGGACTGGACACCCTCAACTTAATATTTGGTAGCACACCCTTTGGACAAAATGACTGAAATCAATCATTTCCTGTAGCCATCAGTAAGTTTCTTACACTTCTGTGAGGGAATTTTGGACCACTCAAATTTTGCCAGCTGCTCCAGGCCTCTCACATTTGAAGGGTTCCTTCTCCCAGCTGCTGTTCTGAGACCTCTCCACAGGTGCTCTGTGGGATCTGGACTCATTGCTGGCCACTTCAGCACTCTCCAGTGCATGGTCTGAAACAATTTCTGGTGCTTTTTGAAGTCTGATTTGGCCCATTGCAAGTGTGATTTCTATATTGCCAGCACCTGTTGGTTGCTACAAGTGAGTTTCATTTCAAATTAAACGAGCATCACATGCTAGAAATAAAACTATTTCTGATGATTTAGAAAAGGTGTCAGTAATTCTGTCCAGTTCATTTTTAGAGTTCTGCATGGAATGGATCACATTTGTCTTTTTTCTCTGCATTTTGTGTTGTTCCAATGCAAACAAAAGAATTAAACATGAGATTACTAAAGAATTTGTGATTGCAACAGTTTTCTGGGAGAGGTGGTGTGTTGTCTGACAGAAAAGCAGCGGTGCCAATATTTTTGGCCATGACTGTATCTCTGTGATGGACAATTAGTGTGATGCTCCAAAGATGGTGCATTTACCCAAAATTCGATAAGGCTTGACTTTAGCTTTACATTGTCTATACTCTAAGATCTTGATTCTAAATAATTTTACCCCGTCAGTGGTTTGTACCCAATTGAAACATGCTGTAGCTACCTGCAACCTCCCAATCAGGTATGTAAATTTAGAAATACAAAATGCCATGACTGAGGCATTTTCTGCTGTTCTCTGTGTGCATTCTCAAATGCAGAACTTGTCCAGTCCATAAGCTTTAGCATAAAAAAATCCTGAGTTATTTTAATCAGGAGAATCAGTATTTCCCTCCTGCTATGGGACAGGTGTCCAGCTCATACAGGGAAAGTTTGCTGATCATTTACTCTTGTTCTGCAGTATCTTCTTTATATTCACGTGGTCATAGACACAGACACACACAAGATTTTGGAGGAGAGACTTAGTTCCTACCAGAGTTTGGCTGTAATGACGACTGCCGTCAGGATGAGCAGTGAGGAGATGGTCACGGTGACGTAGAACTGAGGGTCCACTGTAACACACACATATACACATACTCATGGAGTTACTCATTTCAGACCGTGACCATGTATAACTGTATCCAGAACAAAAGAAGAAATCAGTGAAGCCAGCTGAAACATGAAAGTGGATATGCGAGACTGTATTCATATGATGATGTCTTCCCTGTATATCACAGTTTGACAGTGGCCAATATCTCCTCGTGAGTGGTGAGAACTTTATTAGGCATTCCTCGCCACAGAAACAGCCAGCTGCACATGGTAGAGTGTCAGCCTTCACCCTGATGACAGCTAATTCCCTGGAGGACTCCTTTCATGTGTGTTCTCATCGCCACCTTTATTTAGAAATCCATCATGTGCATCTTCTGATGCCCACCTTCCTCACGCTCCGTCTCCTCTGCTTCCGTCCCTCCATCCTCCACTCCCTCCCACTCTCTGGACTCCAGCGGTACCTCCTCTCTGGGCTGCATGCTTGCACCAAGATAAGGCCAGTCCTCGGACATGGCGCTGCTGGACTCCTGCTGGTTCCCGTGCTGATACAGAGGGTCAGTTTCTTGGCTGGAGAGGAAGTGATAGGTCTCATCTTCCAGCGGCTGCGTTGGACCCCAGACCACCGCCCACAAAGGGGTAGGAGTGACCTGGGCTGTGACGGACACCTGGACCGACAGGGTGTCCACCTGCTCCTCGCCCTCGTGGTCGTCACGGTTACAGGTGGAGGGCTGTGTCACCAGAGCAACCAGGAGGAGAGAGATGAGGGCAGTCAGTCGTGCGACAGGAGAGATGGAGCTGTAGAGAGGTGGAGGAGAAAGAATGAGAGGCGCTGGAGTGACAGGGAAGTTATCTGAGAAAATGCATTGTCCACAGGCGCCCTGCACAACCTCAGCAGCACAGACAGCGATTTCTATGCCAGTCATCACTCAGAGTGACATTTTATGCATCTGCACACCATTCATGCCTCCATCACCTCAGAAACTATGCATCTTACCATCTCTCCATCGCTTCGCTCTGTTCACTGAGACTCCACTCCTCCGATCATCTCTCCCTGTAAGATAAGACAGAGGGGCAAGAGAGGGAGATAAAGAGTGAGAGAGGAGGGGAGGGTCCAGCTTCTTTTTTCTTTTATGTTCTCAGACATAAAGCATGTAAACACAGACACCAGCAAATAGTACTGTCAGAAAGCCAACTCTGTCACCTTTTTCAAAAAAACAGACTCCCTTAGACTTTTATATTTAACGCTCACTTATGTGCCACATACTCATACAGAATCTGCATCTGCATGCAAAAACACCCAGAAGTACACACTCATTGTCTGTTCTGCTCATTCACGCACATTTACAGTGCATACACCTGAGCACTGCACATTAATCATCATTAGAGGCATCACGCACTGAGACAATACTCTATATGGCACTTTAAGCAGAGAGAGTTAACTTCCTATCTACAGCTACTACCTAAATGCCACAGAAATATCACTTAGATACACACGAGCGCACCCACCGGGAGACACACAGGCACTCCGACACATATCAGTTATCATGCCTACCTCTGGCAGTGGAGAGAGGGAATGAGAGAGGGAGACAGAGAGAAAGGGGGAGATACAGAGAGCAAGAGAGAGGAAAAAAGCATTGGTTGCCGTAGCGACTGAGACATGTAGAGTCTGCTAGAGAAAGAGCGGGGAGAGAGAGCGATGTAGGGAGAGCAAGAGACTGTAGGAAACAGATTTAAATGCTAATTATGTTTTTTTTAAACAGCTTCAATTAAATGGACACAGAGGAAAAGAAATGAATTTGACAAGGCAAACAATTGATACTGAGAACCTGATTAATAAGCTCATTTTGGAGGCGAGATGTTAAAAAAAAAATTCTGCAATTATGTTTACAAATCCAGCAAGGACACCCCAGAGAGAAAAAGACAGTAAAGAGGAGGAGTGGGAAGGAAAGAAACAGGGGAATAAAGATGGAATAAAACTGAATCTACATTCATTTACACAGATTGCAGCGGTACAGCGGAGTGATGACCTGGTGTTTCAGGAAGAGGCAGGGTCAGATTCAAATGGGGGGATAAAAAGACAACAACAGGTGTAAATTTGGAGATGAGTGCCACCGTGTGACAGCTTTATTGTATGTAGAAATAATATTTACATAGAAAACAATCTGCCTATCACTCTCACACACACACTCACTTCCTCCACCCATATGCTCCCCCCTCCGACACCAACACACAGTCTGTCACACTTCACTTCCCCCCACCCTCTTTCTCTCCCTCCCTCTCATTTTCTCTTCATGACTGCTGGCCGTGGTGTCCTCAGTGTGAGAAACCAACAGCGCTCATTGGAGTATGCAGCGCAACCACGAGCCGGACCCTCCATCCTCCGCATCATCACGCCGATTGTCTTTTCCTTCATCGCTGTCATGATCATCCTCGTAATCTATATTTGACAAGGAGGTCAGAAGGATTCGTCACAACACTCATCATCTAAAATTAACATGATAGTGTTGTCTGCAATTCCACGGTTAGTCATTAAGCGTGAGTCACTAAATGAAGACCTGAAGATGCATGAAATTGCAGCATGTACCATCAGTTTCCTCGTCATCTTCTGTATCCTCCTCTGACTCCAGCGAGCACGAGTCCAGTCGACTGTCCCTCTTCACTGTGACATCACTCCTGTAACATTCACAGTTAATCAAACATCAACAATATCAGTGGAGATGTGTATCAGTCAGTTAAACCTTTTAGCACATATAAAATCCCAGTTTAGCTCTAGATTTGCACAGCTGACCTCAGAAGAAATGCTGAATATTTAAGTAAAGAATAAAACTGAGCAGTTTAGACTCAATCTCTAACAGGGTACTGTGGTCAGATACTGCACCTCTGCTTTCCAGAGCTGGGCAGCTGCTCCCATACAATGAGATCACGACCTCCGGTGACCCACCGGTGATCTCCGCTCCCTGTGGTCCAAGCTGCAAAGCAGAGGATTCTGGGAGCATCAGGCCAGGTCAGAGTGGCCAGATACCGACACTGAGGCAGAGAGAATACTAGAGGGAAGAGAGAGAGATGAAGGTGATTATTAACAGAGAAAAGCAAAGTGGTTTTGAGTTTGTCCTTATTGTGCCGTCATGCTTCGAGTGGAGTGACTAACATAGTTTACTCACAATTTAATGTGCTCTCTCCGTTTGCCAGATCATAGCAGGAGCCAATTAGGAGGCCCCCTATCTGGTGAACACAATCTGCTACCCCAGTGATGCTGCTGTGATTGGTCAGTCTGGACGTCGTTCCTGTGATAATTGGACAGATGTTAGGTGGAAGGACTATGCAAATGTTCTTCCATCTATCATTCCTCTATCTGAAACAGACACCTTCTGCCCATCCAGTTCCAGTGCTCACCGGTCCTCCAGTGCAGGATCTTGAGCCAGGCTCGACCGTAAGCCAAGAACACTTTGTCTCCCCGTGGGCTGAGGGACAAACGCCCACCCAGCCCCCCTCCGCAGCCCGTCACCTGGCCAGTCCAGTGGTGCAGCAGTCTCAGAGGGTCTCGAGACAAACACCGGTTCTCCCACACAGACATCCCTCCTTCAGCCGAGCCGGTGAACACCAGTGGACCTTGAGACTGTGGAGGGCACCGCAGACATAGTTGTCATGGTGATCAGAGTCTTTACACAGTGTGTGTGTGTGTGTGTGTATATGTGTGTGAGAGAGAGAATGTATGCTCGTGAAAATGGAGAAGTGTATGTATAGTTTTAAAATGTTTCTGTGTTGCTGTTGGTTATAAATGGATTGTGTGCTCTGCATGATAAATAACAGGATAACAATGATGCGCTACACTTTAATGCTTTAGGCATTTTTTGGTGATTGCGAATTGAAAAAAATAAGCATATATAGCTCTGGATTTCAATATTCATAGCAAACCTTTTTTCCAGCTCAAAATATGTATAGCATGCTTTCTAAAATTGGCCAAGCTCTACAGTTTACATCTCTGTAAATATCTCTGATTTCCATTTGAACCCAATAAACAAGAAAAGCTTGTGTGAGGGTGAGTGTAGATATAGAGCTGTTTGATTTTCTGAGGAGAGTCTTTGTCACAAATTAATAATCAGGAGTTCTGAAACTACTTTAGACAGCTTTTACAGAGACAGACATATTGGCATGTTTTTGTGTCAGCCACTGCATTCTTAAAAATAGGCCGAAAATGAAAAGAGCCTGAGCACCCCCTGTGTGGACAGCATGTGAGTAACCCACCCACCTGGATGGAGGTGACTGCTTCCTGGTGAGCGTTGACTGACTGGCAGTTTTCAAAAGTGTGCCAACTCCACGCTTGAACTTTCCCCCCGTCTGTGCAGTGACAGAATGTGAGGTTAACACGTGCTGACAGGCGGATGGCACTCATTATTGGGGGTCATTGTCGACCCACCTGAGCCTGACTGCTTGAACTGTGTGCCTCCATCTCTCTGACTCAGCCCACTAGCCCTGTACTACGCTCACTGGCAGATGATGCCACTGTGTCAGACACTGCCTACATATTAATAAAGACATGCACACTCCTGTGTGAAATAATGCATTCAAACAAGTAGGCATGTATATACTGTAGGTCTATTTGAAAGCACATCTATGTCCAAAAATACACAAATACAGTATGATATGACAACTTCTGACTCCAATTACTCTGTCCACTGTGTCACTAGTTTTTCATGCACTTCCCATCCACACAAAAACGCACCTGATCCAGTAATAATGTAGCCGTCTTTCTCTGGCACAAAGCAGAGCGCAGTTACAGCGTTGAAAGTGTAGATAGACTTGACACATTGCCCTGGAGGCAACGGGAAAGCACTAATTTAATTGACAAGACACAGACCAGCAGTCACACAGGTACACATTGATTACAGTGTGCATACACAAACATTTACTCCCAGACAGAGCCCCTGAGGCTTCATCTACCGTAAAAAAAAATAAATAAATGACATATATATTTATATGTATATCAGTCTATGTGCATGTTTACATGGTTAAACACACCAATGCTCAGGGCCCAGATCTTCACATAGCAGTCCGCCGAGCCACTCAAAATAAACCTCTCCTTGTCGGACAAAGACAGGGACCAGGCTGACGAGAGGGCAAACACAAAAGAGTGGAAGGGGATGGAGGAGGAGGAGGAAAGAACAGGTCAGAAGGAGAGAGAGAGAGAGAGAGATGAGGATAAAGAGGAAGCTGTAAATAGGTGATTGTGCACAAAATGAATGACTAAGAAAAAGGCAACACATGATTTTAAAGGTTCAATTAGTACATGGTGATTATAGTTTGACTGAGCTGCTTCGTTTATGTGGTGGACTTCTTGACTTGGTATTTTAAGTTGGGGAATCAGGTGGGGAGGGAGCGTAGTAGGAGACCTGAAGAGGCCGTTGGAGTTCAAGTGATGTAAGGCTGCCTGCTTCAGACAGGTGTCTACTGATGTTATCTCTCAGTGGGGCTGATCTGATGAACTGCTCGTATAATTACCAGGCTGCAGGATGCCGGCATTACTCAGCTGTAATCAGCGCATATGTAAAGATGTGGATGTGTTCGTGTCCTCACCCAGCCTCTTGCAGTACTCAGGGGCAGGTGCAGACAGACAGGTAACGCCACCCGTGTGACCCCCAAGGTGTTTGTGTTCCGTTGCCGTGGGAACATGCCACACCTTCACTGTTGTATCTCGGCTTAGAGGAGAGAGATGGACAGAATAAGAAAGAGAGGATACAGGAAGACAGAGAGAGAGTTGAAGTGTAAGAGAGGTAAGGAACAAGTAAAGTTAGAAGGCATTTGATATAAACCACAGGAGATTTGAGCCTAGTGTATGGGGCCGGGGAAGAAAAACAAGTATATGTCAGACAACGAGGGAGAGAACGGGAGCATATTAAGTGATAAATTAGGTGAAATGTTCATTTTGTGCATCCATTATGCAAATCAGGGCTTCTTTGCTACTTTACCTTCCAGAAACCACTAGGTTGTCAACAGCAACCACACAAGTGACTATGTCACTGTGACCCTCCAGCAGCCTCAGGCGAAACTTCACCTTCTCCCAAGATGCTTTGAGGGATGTAAATTCAGCTTCTGTAAAAGAAATGACTTGTGCAATTAGCAATGTTGACTCATCAGCACCCGGGCCTGTTAATCTACACAATTCCTCAATATGGATTAATCTGCCACATCAAAGCATGGGGCTAATTTAGCTCCAAGGATGCAAAACATGGGTCTTGTCTTCAGGGAAGCGCATTCAGCCTGTTGGTTTTAATACTGGTAATAACATCAGCCAGTTAACAGTCCTCGGGGCAAACATGTATAATCAGATTTTAAATGTTAATTGCACATTAAGGCATTGCATTGTACTTTTAACTGCCTACGATAAACTGTAATACAGTCTCTTCAGTCACTTTTCTTAATTTTCTCACCTTCCTGTTGCAGTTTCTGCTCCTTGTCAAAGTCTGAACAACCTCCTGACATGTCTCGGCAGTGATCTGACACCCTAGCCGGCCCCATCCTTTCCTGCTGCCTGCCTATCTCTGCTTTCCCTCCTGTCTCCTTTGGCCTGGCAGCCGGCACTGGCGTTGGCTGAGCTTTGGACTCCTCTTCTCCCTTAAGGATCTTGGTGGCTGGAGGCGTTTGTGATGGCAGGGCCTCAGGGGCATGCTCCCTGTGCCAGTGCAGAAAGCAAGAGTTGAATGCATAATCAAGATTGCAGCACAGAGACCCCTGTGACAGAGGGCATACCAGAGCACCTCTAAGTCTCAACAAACAAGAACAGTACTTAGTAATGAGCTTCCTGTGTGTGTGTGTTAGAACAAGTGTGTACCATTCAGTTGGATGTTAACATCCACATATGTTGATTTCAGTGATTTGCACAGAACCCTGAGGGGCTTTAACGGGGAGGATGACATCTCTGAGTGACGTTTACATGACACATTATGAACAGCAGAAAGCTCCCATTTTCATAATGTGTGATGTTGTTTAACCTCTAGTGTATTTGGATAGACATACAAAAAAGATCAAAGGCTGCAAAGCAAATGCTGTTGCTTTTGAAGAATTATGCTTATCTCCATCTGCCTCCCCCTTGCTGGTACCTCTCCCTCACTTACTTACACTTGTCTTTTCATCTTCTCCTTTTTTCCGTCTCCCACAATCCCTAGAGTTTGCTGCGGGCCAGAAAGCTGCAGCTGAAGCTCAGCCAATCTGGAACGCAGCTCCGCCTTCCTGGAGATCTGAGAGAGAGGGAGGCACAAGATTGGTTGTAAACCAAGCTACCAAACCAAGCTGTTTATATGCACAACCAACACACTCAGCCTGTCTTGATTTATTAGACCGCAACAGGAAACACACACAGTACTCCTGACTGATTGTGAGTTATGAAATATGCATGAATGAGTGAATAAGACATATCACTTGACATCAGCAAGGTATGGCCTGTGCTAAAGGAGCACTCCACCAGTTGTACAGTTTACTTGTCAAGTATTACTCAGGTTGTGAAAACAATTATATGATGTATTTTGTAGATCACAAAAAGTAGTCTGAGAAAATAACTCCACTTATGTCATCTGTGTCATTTCCGCTTGGGCTTAGAAACGATATATTTTTAAAAGAAACTGGGACTGTGGCGTTTGGCAAGACATGGACATTTACCAGGAAGGGGAGATGACTGAGCTGTACTGTGGGAAATGTAGGATCTGTTGATTGGAAGTGATTTACCCATTATGCACAGTACAACAAGATATTTGCAGCTTTGATTTTGACCATAACTAAAAAAAAATCTTGTGGTGGCAGAAGTGTTTTGATATTTGACTTAAGTAAAAGTAGCAATACCTCATTGCGAAAGTACTCCTACATACTATATCAATATATGTCACCATTGCTATCAAATGTTCTTCAGCTGTGTATGTGTGGGACATCTCTGTGTGCATGTATTTACCTGTTTCTATTTAAGGATGTAATGGAAGTTCAGTAAAGAGGAAACTGTCATACAGGGCATGGCCATAACTCACCCTGCACTTCAGCAAACTGTGTCTTTACTGATAAGAATTTTTTGTGATGCACCCTGCTCAAAGTGTGAACCTCTGACCTTCTCGGACAAAAGCTGTCAGATTATTCACTCTACCTTTAACAATCTATCACACATTTTCCATGTGATATCAACACTGGTATTTCAGGCTTCAGGTCACATTAGGTGGTGTTGATATGTTTTACAACATATCAATGCCATTAAAACATCATCTTTAACTGTGTGAGTTTGGCTACAACAGTTTTGTCTATAAACATGCAACTCTACTGACTGTTGTGGAAATGGATATTTATTAAAATATTCTTTAATTTTTACTAAATCCGTGGCTGTGCTGTACTAGAGTCTGAGTTAACTCATTGTTAAACCTGAAATTAATCTAATCGGGATTTGGCAAATTCACGAAGACTACACTGAGCTCAATTAAAAACTAACAGGCAGATAAAGGACTTTCTATACCTTGAATCTCTCCTCTGGGGTAAGACTGATTTTAATTTCCAGATTTTCAATCTGTCTCAGCTTCTTCTGCAGCTTCCTCACCTCCCCCATTTGAACCCGAAAGTGCTAAAACACACTATACTGCCTTTAACGAAAAGTCTACAGAGGCTTACAGGAATAAAGATACATCGTTTGGCTCGGCAGTGTATTGTAGAGACGTGTCGCCGGATGTTGACAAGACCTTAAATGCGTATACCTATTCCTACAGCGCCATCATGTGGCCATGGAAAGTATTGTCCTGAAAAACATTAATAACAGTCTAAATATACATTTTCGTCCAGCTGCAGTATAAGTAGACTAAGCGACATCTTTGAACTTGATCGCACCCTGTAGGCCTAGTAAGATGAATAACACTATAAACTACAATACACCAACAATGGCTGTTTTTGGAAATTGAGTGAACATGAGAAAGTGTGTCGTATGAGGACTCCTGTTAGTAGGCTATTTTATTTGTGGAAAAAAAACTGTGCACATATTTTAGACACTAAAATAGATTAATCACTGACCCCTGCATTTTTTTTAATTTCCATTCATTTATTCAGGATACTCCTTTAATTTGTCAACCGTCTCTGTTTCCAAAGTCCCTGATACCGACTTCTGTCTTAATTCCGACAGCAAAGAAGGCACCATTACCCTTCATCTTCTCTCAACTTGGAGCTGACTGAAACACAAATGTGCTGAATAATCATGGTCGGCCGTCTTTCAAATTCATACAGATTCGCCGTCCAACCTCCGCTGCAAGGACAGCAAGCCACTGACCGAGGACATGTTGCATTTTAACAAATAAACACCTTTTAAGTGTTACAGGAAGTGACATCGAAGCACACGCTTCTTTGTCCGACGGCCTTATCCGGAGGAAGTGAAGCTCCGACGAGGTAGCTGCTTAACCGGAGGGAAAAAATCATAAAAAAAGCGAAGAGGTGAAAAAAAACTTAAGTGGTTTGTAAGAATTTGGACACATTAAGGAACTGTGTCCAAATCACCCAGGCCCGCGGGAGTTTCCGGAGAGGGAGACGGAGTCATCGTTACCGGTAAATGCCACTGTTCTTCGTGCAGTATGTTGTATTTTTGGTAGCGATAGATTTGCAAGACTCTGCTGCCGCCCATCTCCACAGCCGGAAGTATGTGAGGATAGACTATTGGTTCAGGTTTTTTTTTTTTCTAAATTTTTGTTTTTTTCGTGGTTGTTTTTTCCAAGCATGACGACAGGCTACTACAGACACACTGTGCTGTCAGCTAGCTGCTTGTAAACCAGCACTTCGGGCCCGATTAAGTACAACATGTCAGGAGCAGAAATGGAGTCCAGCTGTCGAGCTACGGCTCGTTGTAAACATAGCATACAGTATGTCTGATTTGTAAAAGTTAGCAGTATTTGGTGTTTTGTACTGGGCTGGTTTGATACCCGGCAACGTTAAGCTAAGTCGTTGGATCTGCGGTACAATCCCTGAAACTGAAGTCAGTCATTGTATTGTGGTGCTCAGAACCAGTAAATCCCTAAGTTACAGGTAAGTTCTAAATAGAAAAGTTGAACATTAGCCTACATAATCTAATATTTTTTAAAAATATGAGGAGCATCATATCTAATGTGCACATGAATTTGTGATTTTATTGAATATGGTCTAATATAAACCTCCAAGATCAACATGTTGTTTTTCTTTTTCAAATGTAAAACCTCACGCCTCTTCTAGTCTGCCACTTGTTAAATCGTTCTTGTTATTAGTCAGTCTACCTCTGTTTATCTCTTTTTTTAATTGAATCAATGCCAGTAGGATCCCACTGGGATCTGCCCCAGGAGCCCCCACACCTCTAGGGGCCCTCAACAACCCCAGCTTCAAGTATTACTTTGTGGTAACATTATTAACAGCGGTTTTTTTCTTTTCCCCAGACATTTTGACATGTTAGAGAAGGAAAAGCATGACTGTAAACAACAGTTCCAGGGTTCTGGTTTTGTGCATGTTGGATCCCTGTCATGCTGTCATTGTGTGCTGAGACATTTAAATAGAACCGGCCCGCTGCTAACATTATTAGTAACACTTGTGTGTGTGTGTGTGTGTGTGTGTGTGTGTGTGTGTGCTTGTTTTGCTGCTATGACAAGTTAAAATAGGCCTATGTAATTTTGTCTGGTGGTGTACACAGCTAAACCGCAACTTTATTACCTCATCATGGAACCCTGCCTTCAAAAGTGGCCTTTTGTCATAATCAAGTTTTAAGACTTGCCTTATTCCAGCTGGTGTTTTGCTCACAATGTGCATATTTCTGAATTTATTTGTGTTTAATGTAATTACCACTCACAAAACTGGAGGCCATGTAATAGTGTGGGAATGGGTGGGTGAGATACTGGGCAATAGGTAATAAAACAAGACTCGGTTCCAGTGTTTATAAGATCAACTTCATTGATGTGGAAAATGTAGCATATCCCCATAGGTATGAAAAATCACTTGTCTAATTGATGTTTGGCTCATTAGACTGCAAATAATAGCAGGCTATGTTGTAATATTCTGTTTCATGATGTAATCTTAAGAAAAAATTTGTAATGTCGACTCGAAATTGACAACAAAAACATGTCAAGTACAGTTCTTTGTCATTTGTTTAGCTGCATTACTCCTTTTTAAAATATTTGGATCACCAAAAATAATGTGCCTATGTTTACACTGGAATCACAAGTTTAGTTTGGTTGTGTGTTTAGCTGCTATTGTCTGTGCAGGTTGGTTTTGTCTTTGCAGAGTTGGTGTGTCATATTTCTTGCTGGAGAATAAGCACTGGCAGAGTTATTGATTCATTGTTGCTTCTTTTGTGTCATTGCAGATATGATGGAAGATTCTCACTTTAACTCATCATATTTCTGGTCTCCTGTCCCCACTGTGCAGGGGCAGGTAAGGTCGGATCACACTTCCAGCATTTGCGGTTTCATCTTTGAGTGGTGCTTTGTGACTATAAGAATAGGACTAAGAGTCCAGGCTGGTTACTGAAATGAAAAATCTTCTGCCTTCTTTCAGATTGAGAATGCCATGTTCCTGAACAAGGTGAAGGAGCAACAAGAAAAGAGTACCTCCTTCTCTCCTTCCTCTGCGTCCCACTACCAAACAGCTCTCCTCACCATCCCCACCCCTGGGTCCAAGATAGATGGAGGAGGGCAGGCTGGTAGTGCGGCACACCTCCACCCTCCTCATAGCACCCAGAACATCACAGTGCTGCCTGTCCCTTCCACAGGCATCATGACAGCAGGTGAGTGTGTTTCTGCACAGAGACCCCCGTGAGTCTTTCTTAGTTTATTTCATGATACATTTGACATAAAATCTAATGATCAAAGTACAAATCAGAAGAACACCAAAGGTTGAAGATGGATTTACTGTAGATCCCTTAAGTTTAGTTCTGTACCCTAAAATAAGAAGCAATGCATTTAATGATTTAGTTGATGAGTAAAAATTTAGAGAAACGAGCAACATGGGATTCAAGCAGCTCAGAGCGCACAGTGCCAGTAGAATGAGCAACATGAAATGAGCACCTCTCTGACTTGAATTTATGTTCCAGCCTCAAGGATTTCCTTATAATACACAGATCTCTTAGCAATAACATTTTTGAATCTGAAAACAGAACTGTGGAGCAGTTCCTGAGCTTTAAGGACATTGCTCAAACTGTAAACTTGGGAAGAAAGCTGCCTGCAATCCTCTAGTTTGAATTCACAGATTATACAGAGGCTGCAGTCTCCTTAGTGAAGTGTGATGTCTTCTCTCTTTCTGTCTGTGTATGTGTCGTTTGGTGCAGCGGGTCTGGTTATCACCACTCCTCAGGGAACACTAGTTTCTCCCACCTCCTCTCAATCGTTTGTCTCTGGTCATCCAGCAACAACCATGATTGTTTCAGCTCTTCATTCTCCAGGTGTCACACACAAAAGGACACACATACGATAATATGTATTTCATATATGTTTCTAACATGAACTGCCTTAATAATATTAGTTTTAACTAAGTTGGTCTACACAAAGAATAAATCTAAACTTTATCATGCTTTTCTTGGATGCTTCTATGTGGCCACAGCTACTGTACAGAATTCAGCTGCTTGTTGTCAGAGCACAGATGCAAAAGGGTAATCGAAGTGGTTATACAGATTTCCTCATATTGTCAATGCTTACTAGTCTATGTAGGTGTACATACAGTATGTGCTTATGTGGACCTAAACGTCTGTGGCCTGAAGAATCAGCAGAACTGAGCTGATGAAATTACATTTTCAACATTTAATGTTGTTGTAGGAAGTTCGGAACATGATCGAGCCATTTCAGTAAGCACAGGATGACGGTTGGTTCTTTATATATACATATATATACACAGTGTGTGTGTGTGTGTGTATATATGTATATGTATGTATATATATATATATACAGTGCCTTGCGAAAGTATTCGGCCCCCTTGAACTTTGCGACCTTTTGCCACATTTCAGGCTTCAAACATAAAGATATAAAACTGTAATTTTTTGTGAAGAATCAACAACAAGTTGGACACAATCATGAAGTGGAACGAAATTTATTGGATATTTCAAACGTTTTTAACAAATAAAAAACTGAAAAATTGGGCGTGCAAAATTATTCAGCCCCCTTAAGTTAATACTTTGTAGCGCCACCTTTTGCTGCGATTACAGCTGTAAGTCACTTGGGGTATGTCTCTATCAGTTTTGCACATCAAGAGACTGAAATTTTTGCCCATTCCGCCTTGCAAAACAGCTCGAGCTCAGTGAGGTTGGATAGAGAGCGTTTGTGAACAGCAGTTTTCAGTTCTTCCCACAGATTCTCGATTGGATTCAGGTCTGGACTTTGACTTGGCCATTCTAACACCTGGATATGTTTATTTGTGAACCATTCCATTGTAGATTTTGCTTTATGTTTTGGATCATTGTCTTGTTGGAAGACAAATCTCCGTCCCAGTCTCAGGTCTGTTGCAGACTCCATCAGGTTTCCTTCCAAAATGGTCCTGTATTTGGCTCCATCCATCTTCCCATCAATTTTAACCATCTTCCCTGCCCCTGCTGAAGAAAAGCAGGCCCAAACCATGATGCTGCCACCACCATGTTTGACAGTGGGGATGGTGTGTTCAAGGTGATGAGCTGTGTTGCTTTCTAGTCCTTAAAACAAAAATATCTTTTTTGTGACAGCTTGCTCATAAAATACTGGTGTGCTTAAATTTTTTGTACATTTTCTTTTAGGAAGCAACATTCACCATTTACGACACTATTCAATACTCTTGTGCAGTTTTCCCCCAAGAAGTTGTTAGAATATTTTAAGGAACAGATTGGTAGAAACTGATTTTCATTCACTCACTCAAACTCAATTATGCACCAAAGAAGCACAATTTAAATATGAAATTTTCTGCAGCACACATCAATTTTAGCTTGAGGTCAGTATATGTATCTGCAAAACAATATACAGTGTTTGTGCTGCTCATTAGAAACTTGCTTACAGACATCAGCTTGCACTCACTTTGAGTGATTCTCAAACTATTGTAGACAAAAAGGAAGGGGATGGGACACCTCATGTGGTCGTGATGCCAGCTCCCTCGAAACGAGGCAGAAAGAAGAAGATGACAACACTGTCAAGGGTTGGTCCTATGGGTGGAGCAGGAAATGAAACACTAATACTGGCTCACCTGACAGCTGGCGGCCACGTAAGAAAATATAGATGTAGAAAAGCAAATGCAGTACAATAAATAGACACTCAAGTGCTGAAAATCTTGTTTTTGTTAGGTGTCATCTTTACCGAATCATACTGGAGACCCCTATGAGTTGTCAAATGAAGAAGACAACCACAGCCCAAAGGATAACACTAAAACATACAGGTATGGTGCTTAAAAAATAAGCAATACCTGCTGTGCATCCCCATTTCTCCTTGCTCTAGTTATGAAATGCAAGAACACCTGTTCCTCTGTGTCCTGTTAAAATCAGTGTAGAGATGTTCAGCTTTTGTAGGTGAACTAGTTGCTGCTGGATGTAAGCATTTGACACACAGACACCTCTCCTAAACACACTTCACTGCATGTTGTGGCAGAACACACCTGCTTTGTAGTGGACAGTCTGTTCCTTCTCATAATGTATTTGTATCCCAAATACATAAGTGCTCCAAAGCTGCTCTCTGTCTCTGCGCACGCTGGACATGGACCTGTCCTCTTTGTCTTTATATAGCATGGCTTTTTAGTTGTGATCTCTCACGCACTCCTGTGTCCTGCTCTTTCACCTTTTATAGTATCTACGTACCTTTCCCTCTCAGTTTCACTGATTGATCATTGATTTCTCTGTTATTCATTTTTCTATTCGTTCTCTGCCATATCTTATTTTTCTGTGGGCTTCTTTTTCTCGTTTCCTTCCATCGCCCTCTCCCACTTTCCCCTTATCCCATCTTCTCTCATTTTCTTGCATCTCCTTTTCTGTATACGTGTCCTCCTGCTTTCCTGTTCTTCCATCCTGCCCTCCCATGTCTGTGTCTCTCCGCCTGTAGGTGCCGGATGTGTTCGGCGACCTTCTTCAGTAAGTCTGACATGCAGATCCACTCCAAGTCGCACACAGAGGCCAAACCTCACAAGTGTCCTCACTGCGCCAAGTCATTCGCCAACTCCAGCTACCTGGCCCAGCACATCCGCATCCACAGTGGAGCCAAGCCTTACACCTGCTCATACTGCCAGAAATCTTTCAGGCAGCTCAGTCATTTACAGCAGCACACACGGTACTGCAGCCCCCCCACCTACCCACCCACCCTCCTTGTCCTGCCAAGTCCCTTTTTTGAAGCCCCGACTCGTTCTACTTCTTCCTTTAGGGAAGAGAGTGGAGTGGTGTGCAGATGCATATTACACTGCCATGTAGACGTTGGCCCGCATGCTACTGGCTCCATCCAGAAGTGACATTTTCAGACAATTAAAATTCAAATGGCATCTTTTAATGTAGGTTGGACTTTGTCCGTAAAAGTATTTTCCATAAATTATACAGCTATCAGAATAACCATTTAAAATGCATGCAACTCTGTTGTGTTAATTGATACAATTAGAATGTATGATGTTCTCTTTTTACATTTGTGTGTATACACAGTTCTTGCATCCCTGTGTACTGTTGCATCGTGTTTTCTCATTTTACATGTTTCTTGTGTCTGCCTGTGCTTCTTCAAGAGGAACACACACATAGGCGTCTCGAAATACATATAGAAATTAAACTTTCTAGGCAGACTTTAGTTCTATTTTGCTTTCCCATTTTACTCATGGTGTTATTGTTTGGTGTCCTTCTCATCCATGCCTATTCTTACTTTGCTCCTTGAATGGTAATGTGTAATAGAAGTCCTTTGATATTGTGCTGTGCTTTCGTGACATTGCTGTTTGTTTGTTTGTGTTTATTTTGGGTATCCTCAAATCAATTTACAGGCAGGCATGTTGATCTGAATTGATGAATTGCAGTTATTACATTTGTTTTATATTTAATCATTTCTAAGTATATTTTAATTGTGATAATCTTGTCTTTAAATATGAAACATCTAATTCAGCTGATCCAGACAACAATGAGTAAAACTTTGCTGAATTTGTTGGATGTGCATGTTGTGCACTTCAGAATAACACACTGTAAATTTCAGATGACAGTACTGCACTACTACAATAGATGTATACATACTGTAGAATTTGTTTGTGTTTTTTTGCTCCATGCTTTTTTGAAGTGTCAACCCTTAAATTGTAATTTCACTTTCTTTTTCACCCTCCCATCTCACCTCATTAGGAATCACACGGAATCAAAGCCTCATAAGTGTCCCCATTGTACCAAGTCATTTGCCAACTCCAGCTACCTGGCTCAACATGTCCGCATCCACACTGGAGTGAAACCCTACACCTGTTCCTACTGTGAAAAGTGCTTTAGACAGCTCAGTCATCTTCAGCAACACAACAGGTAAGTGAATCACCAGGTTTGGGTTTCTTGTCTGCTTCACTGTCTTTCTGTGTTCAGGTTAGGTCACCATGAGAGTGATGGGCGTGTGTTTGCTTGTGTTTTTAATACAGGATTCACACTGGGGATCGACCATACAAGTGCACCCATCCAGGCTGTGAGAAATCCTTCACACAACTCTCAAATTTACAGGTGTGAAAGAATTTAGTTCTCCTTTTGAACAATGCATGTCGTGTCTAAGTTATTACTTGTATCATAGAACATGTCACTGTTTCGTGACAACTTTTTTTTAGTTTTTATTATTTTCAATAACCATTTTTTCCTAGTCACACCGGCGTCAACACAACAAGGACAAGCCCTACAAGTGCCCCAACTGTAATAAAGGATACATAGATGCAGCGAGCCTGGAGGTGCACATGTCCACACACACTGTCAAACATGCCAGGATCTACTCTTGTGGTCTCTGCAACCGCAGTTATACCTCAGTAAGACAAATGTCCATTTCTGAAGAGCATTTCTACATGACACACTGTGAATCGCCTCACTGGCATCAGACACCTGGCAGCTACTTTACACCGTGTAGTCATGTGTCCACTGTTTCCCCTCTACCTATCCTCCCTTCATCTCAGGAGACGTATCTGGTGAAACACATGGAGAAACACAACCCAGAGCAGCTGTCTGCACCGGCAGTCGTGGCAGCACAGTCAGCACAACAGAACCAGAACCAAAGCCAGGCCCAGGGCCAGGCTGGAGCTCAGAGTCGGGTAGAGAGTGCAGATGGAGGATCAAGCCAACCTGGGGGAGCTGGGAGCCGGGGAGCAGGCAGGGCCCAGCAGGGACAGAGCCAGAGCAACTACCCCCAGACAGAAACCATCCTTTGTCCGTTTGACCTGCACCAGTATAAGACAGTATCTGCCAGTGACATCCAATACAAACCAGTCAGTGTGGCTGACATTGCTTCCCACAAGGACCTCTGTCTCACTGTGTCAGCATCCACCATTCAAGTGGAGCACCTCAACTCGTAGGGGTGATGAAAGGAGGGAGTGTGGGTTGTGGGAAAGTTAGAACAAATTAATGTATGGACAGTTAAAGGATAAAAGCAATATTAAGATGATATAAGAACTTTTTAACACATGGCTGTGCCTGAACAATGGTTTGAAATAGACAGGACAAACTATATGATACACAGACGACTATCATTGTGTTCTGTTTTTTAGTCTGTCTCTTTTTCTTTCTTTCTTTCTTCCTTGATTGTTTTCCTTTTGGTTAGATGTCCTGCCTGACTAGAAAGTGCATGTAAAGGGTGCAATAAAGTATGTTTCAGTCCATCACAGTGATGGTTTTATGATCAGAAGATGGTCCAAGGGAAAGCGCTTCTGTTTATTGTTTTATTACCTCCTGCTCTTCCCTACAAATGCAACTTTGACCATAGCAATTTATGGTCTCTGTCAATGAAAGTGGTAGCTAACTGTGAAGGTACATTTTTATACTTTCATACAGAGACTTTCAGTTTTTACTTGGTGTCATTACCTCTGCAATGTTGTAAAATATATACATGCAATTTCTTCTTTTTTTTTTTTTTTTGGCTTAAAAGGGATGTAGAGGTTATTCCTTTTCAGGAAAGAAAAAGTATCACTCAAGTATATATAGATATACCAACAATTTATAACGAATGATTGTGTGTTTAAGGGCTGTGGTGTAATTCATATAACCAGTTTAGACCCATTCACAAGCTATCATAGGACCTTTGGGGGAGGGATGAGCCAGTTCATGTTTCATGTAATCTTGTTGTACTGTTTTGTGTGTATGTTCTAAAAGTAATCCAAATGTGTACTTGCTATTATACTTCCACCATAAGAATGTTTATAATAATGCTTTATAGATGTATTGACACATATGAAATGTGTTTTTCTGCTTATAATGCAATAAACCCTCTGAAATTTTTCTGTTTGAGTTTAATGCCATATTTATTTTAATTCTCTCCATATACACACAGACACAGTTGGATTTTATCCCAGCTCTGCTTTTATCAAATTATTTGATTTATGTGCAGTTTTGTTGTGTTTTATGCTCTGTTTTAACCACCTTAATTTAAAAGCCTACCCGGGGACAGGGGCTGCAAATTTTTTTAATGTAGATGCTCTGAATACATTTGTTGCATTGCTTCTCTGTATGTAACGCTGTTCATCTGTATGGTCCCTGTTGAATAAATAATTTCCTTACCTGCCATAGTGGGTTTATGAAGGGACATTGGTTTATGGCTATAACAGTTCATCTTTAACTTTTTTTAATTAATGGTTTGGTCAAGGCCCAGTGTTTGAAAATAGTGAAATGCCCATTACAATTTCCTAAAGCAGAAGTTGACATTAAGTTTTTTTGTTGTTGTTGTTTTACAAGCAAAACCCAGAGAGCAAGGTGTCAAAATGTTTTCTTTCATTTATTGGGCTACACATAAATACCTTTTTATTTTTGTAAAATAATCTTTTACAGTATATTTAAGAAATAACTCCTGAAAACTGCTTGTGTTATGCGTAATGATTTTGTGATAGTTGTACGCCCAGGCATTTGTTATTTTTATTTTATTTATATTTAGTTATGGTTTCTCTGCTGGAATGTGCAGATTTGTGTGGTGTTTACAAAAGTGGACTGTACCATTTAAGAGAAGGGGGTTTATAAGAGTTACGACAACATTTTCATAGTACGTGTCCATAATAATGCATGGTGTAAGGCTGTTTACTCGCACTAAGTCGCAGTAGTGTTAACAAGGTAATGTCAATAAAAACCAAACGATCCGAACCTGGTTGATTTGAAAACGCCTAAAATTGGTTTAGCCGATCATTCGCTGCAGTGGATATGGCGTCACTGAAAAGTGTAGGAGTCGAGAAACTTCAGCTGTGTAAATAACGTCAATAAGATAGCTGGAGGTAGCAATATAGACGGTTCACAGATAACGCCATAAATATATTTACCAGCCATTTTTAATTATGCCCCGGAAAAAGCCATTTAGCAATAAACAGAAGAAGAAACAGCTACAAGTCAAACGGGAGAGAAAGAGAGGTAAAAATTGCAGTCCTTCGCTTTAAAATGCTAGCTAGCGTTAGCAGTTAGCTAACGGCTCGTGCTTCACAGCGAGCTAAATGTAGTTTATCAGCAAACTGTTAGCTTGTCTATCTGTGTAGTGTTAAAGATTTTTGGATACACCGCCAGACCACTCGCTTAACTTGTAAAACAAAAATTCACATTTGGTGTAAGCTACCGAGGCCAGGCCTGGTGCATGTTTTGAGTTTGGAATTTCATTTAAATAAATGTTAGCTTATA